ATCCTGCTACCAATACACTCTCTTCCGGCATCGAGAGCGGGACGGTTGCAAACGCCACGGGATCGGGATTGATTTTTTCCAGAGACTTTCACACACTTTTGATATCTTCGAAAAACTAAGGAGCAGATATATGTTTGCAAGTCGAGGAAAACGCTTTTTACAAAAGCTTTAGAGTGAGAATCAGCAATAACGTATTTTCATAATGGTTGACTTGTATTGGCACTTGAACTATCATCATCATTGCCATCCAATCGACCTTTATTCGATATGCAATATGGTATTGGCTATCCGTTCTTTTTTGTACTTAGTCATTATGACAGATAAAAATAGAATGGAAAGTGTTGAGAGAAGACTAAAAAATTTAAGATCCCAAACACACCCAGTCAGACAGAGAGCCCAAAAGGCACGAATTTGACATACGAAAGAACAAACTACTTATCGTTTGGATCTGTATTAGTTTCAGTCACAATTTGCGACAAATACGAGTTTTTTTTCTGCTGTTTTTGCGTCATTTGATGTATCTCAGAGCAAATTGTAGCACAAAACACTTGAAATCATGCAAAAATGTCAGAAAAAATTCATCTTTTGTCAGAAATTGTGAGTAAAACGAATATAGACCGAAAAGATAACTAATTGGTCGCTTCGTGCATCAATTCGAACTTTTTCAGGATCTCTGTCTGACTGGACACCATGCCATGAAAATCGCAAAATATACCATTTCTGAAATTTTCATGTGAAAATACTGTTTTTTGACAGAATAGTAAAGATAATATTGCATGGAATTTAGATGTACAATATCATTGATTTATTATATTTTGATAACTTTCTGTTTCGATACCGGGAAGACGCTGGAAGCTAAAAATTTGATTGCAGGCACAATTTGATACGGACTACAATCTCTGAAGGTGAAACTGAAAAAATTGTTGCCCCTAAATCTTTGGGTTTTTGAGAGTGTCTCTAGAAAATCTTGGATACTGGAATATATTATTTCTGAATTGTGGTGTTACTAATTAGTAAGTTAACATCCGAAGTATTTATAAAATAAAACAGTTCACAGAACACTAAGATGTTAATTTATAAGTTACTCGCTCAATATTAAATTTTAACAAGAATTTCAAATCGAAATATGCAGCATAAACTAAACTACATACAATTTTTTGCCAAACAACTGCAAAAGATTTGTATTTTTTCACTACATTTTCATTAAATAAAAATTGAAAATATTTCTTTTTGAATGTCTATTCTGTCTTCATATTAAGAACAACTAAGATCAAATATAATCTCATGAATAAATGGCATTTCATCATTTAATACGTATTAATATGAAATCAAAACCTCACTGAATCTTAACAATAATAATTATGTAATACAGAATTCGATACTTTTGGTGTTGTTTTGTTCTACATATACTAACTTCTGCCGAAATCTTGGTCTTCCAAAAGACCATGAATGTGCACCTGATGACAACGTCTTCGGATAACAGCTTATTCAGATTAATGAACCTCCATAGAAAATACTAAGAAAACAAGCTAAATATTGTTTAATGAACTGGATAGAGTTTTATAATGTACATATCAAGGAATACGGATAATTCAAAAATTCCACAGAAATTTTTCATAGATTTTTATATAATTATTTTCTTTTACCTTCTTAAGCAGACTTGTTATCGTATATCACAGTATGCTACGAAATTTCTACATGATTTCGGCTTTTGTGTTAGCAACAATATACGAATGAAATATATTTGGAAATAGATATGTACGGGGCCAACTTTAGTCCTGGAATTACGGAAAAAGAAGTTACCAGGACTATGAGAAAACAGTTATTATAATCGAAACTACATCTTATAATTAAATATTTTGTGATTTTAAACCAATTATCTTATAAATCATATCAATCGAAACATAATTCAAAAGGAATGACTAGAGCCCATCCGATTCAAAATTTAGGCACTCAGACTCGATCAAGTATGAGTCCAGATCCAGGATTAACGCGACGTGCTCTAGGAATGATTCACAAAAGTGCTAGTCGTCGAATAGAAAACTCAAAAACAACTATTCAAGAAATATTTTATATGCAATATGAATAAATTCTGAATTAATATTCTCTAGACCAAGACCGAAAATAGTTGGTCGCGCACATCTCTATTTAAGACTAATTTTCCTTATTTTCAGTATGTTTTTTTTCGCTGTCTCTCTTTTCTATATGCTGAAAGGATGTATCATTAGTCCTGCTATAACTTTTCTTTTTCTATTTTCTTCATCTTGTTCTTTCATGCAAACCAGTACATTCATAGTACAATTGTAGATGGATTCCTTCTTAGTAATAATAATAAATTTTTCTTGATTAACTTTATTTTATAAACGAGCAAAGAATATTAGATTAAAACATCTTCAAAATATCATTTTATCAAATAAAGTATATTATATAGTGAAGATTTTGATCAGATTAACATTGAATTGCCATGTCTTTTTTTTCTTGATGTATAATAGATTTATCTGAAAAAAGAATGAAAGTAGTTAAACAAATTATTCTCTTCTTTTTTGTTTTTAAAATGTTAACGATATATATATATATATTGCCTATCACAATAGGATAACAAAACATTAGTACATTCAAGCATATAATCAATCTGAGACAAACAACAGTAAACATACTTGTATGCATAAATTCAAAAAGTCTATTATGCAGCTATTGCCATAGTTTTTCGTTGTTGTTTTCTAGGGGGTCGTCTTACACTGGAATGAATATTAGTAAAATCATTCCTTTAATTTTCTTGTTTTGTTTTTGTTTTTGAAAGACTTAGACATACGAGCGTCGTTCTTGTGGAATATGTCCAACATCACCAATACCATAACAAATAACACGACCATCAGATGTACAAACAAGATGAGTAATTGAACAATGAAAAAGATTAAAACGAAGCCAAGCATCAGCTGGTATTTGTAATGCACTGTAATAGAAAATAAATTATAAAAAAAGAAAATTTCATTGAAAAGAAAACTAATCTTACCGGCAAACAAAATAACGAATAACATTTGCATGACATACAATAAGTTCATGAGAATCTTCAGTTTGACTTGGAAATGGTCGATGAATATAACGATGAAAAACTCTTTCCATTCGTTCAGTTTCTAATTCAAGACGACCCTTAGATAAAAAAAAACATTGATTTATTATGTATAAAAAGTTTTTAAAAAAATCAAAATTTCTTTTTATCCTACTTTAGCAATATCATCAATAAATCTTCCAGCTGGTTCTGGAAGAAATGGAAACCTATTAGATTAATAAAAATAAAATCTATTGAAACATATTCATTAATATTTAACTTTTACCCTTCATTAAGATCAATATCTTGTTCAACTTTATTAAATCTCAAATATTTATTAATAATTGTTGCCGTTTGAATAGCACGAATTAAACCTGATTGTACAAGTCGAGTAAATGTAATTCCTGATTCTGCTAATGCTCGTCCAGCCCAATCAGCTTGTTCATTGCCTAAATATTCAATATGATTCATTCATAAATTTTTATCGTTTTTTTTTTTTCTTAATACAAACCTAATTCAGTTAATTGTTTTTCATCTTCAAATTTCGTTCTTGTTTGATATTGTCCATGTCGAATAAGATAAATATGTCTTATAGCTCGAGTTTTATTCATTTCACAATGTCGGCTATAAATAAAAAACAAATAAAATAATAATCGAACAAAACAAAACAACAAATTCTAAACTAACCCATCCCAATTCCAATTCCATCGTTCACTAGATCGTATTGGAGATGAAAGTGATTGTTGATCTGGTTTCACTAAATTATCACTAATATCATTTGGTGATTGAACAATATTTGCAGCAAATACAACACCATATCGTTTTTTTTCATCAACAAAAAAATAAGCTGATGCTGTTGTACATAAAACACCAACAGTTGTAGCAGCTAATTTAGTAAAAAATCGCATGATGAATTAACTCAAAAAAAAATTGAAGTAAGAATGAATAAATATGATATTTATAATATATGTCTTTTGATTGGTTTACTCTTACATGTCTATAACAACATCTATGACTGCATTAATGTATAAACTAAATGCATTTGTTTGGTTGTCATAGATTTCAATAATTCCAATGGAGAATATAATATAAAATCCTTTAAAAAAATTCTTCTTTTTTTTTTAAATAAATCATTATTTACATATGGCTAAACGACGCCTTGAAGATGCAATTGTTGCATCACGTGCACTTAGTGTTGGAATTAAATTAATTGATCAATTTCATAGTGCAACAAGTTTATTTTCTCATGATGTTCAATTACATGCCGGTATATTTTCATTACGTTTTTCTGATGAACTTGATCAAGTAGCTGCTGGTTATGGTGATGGTTCCATAAGATTTTTTTCTGTTACAAATGGTAAACAAACAAATGAATATCTTGCAAGTAGTTTACCACCAATTGAACATTTACGTCGTCTTTCAATGGATTTACCTATAATGTCACTTAAATGGCATCCATTGGCCACACATCGTCTATATGCTGCATGTGTTGATGGTACTATACGGCAAGTTGATAAACAAAAAAATGAATTAAGTGTTATTGCATATGAACCAGATAATGAATTAACATCAATGGATTTTTCACCTGATGGTAAACATTTTGCTACTGTTGGAAAAGATGCACATATACGTATATATGATAGTGAAAAATGTTTACTTGTACATAAATATAATAATCAACGTAGTGAGACACAATTAGCACAAATACGTGGTAACCGTGATAATTATGGTGATGATTTAACATGTACAACCGGTCATTATTATCGAGCATTTGCATGTAAATATCATCCTGATCATAAAAATATATTATTAACAGCTGGTTGGGATAATATTGTTAAAATATGGGATACACGTCAAAAAGAAGCTATGAATGAAGTTATTGCTGGACCACATATATGTGGTGAAGGTATTGATGCACGTGGAAATGAAATTTTAACAGCATCATGGACACGTCGTGATTCACTTCAAATATGGGATTTTCGTACAATGGGTCTTTTAATAACACTTAATGTACCGAATGCTGCTGATGAAAAAGGTGAATTTATGTATTCAGCTCAATTATGTGACAATCGAACTGTATTAGCTGTTGGTAGTGGTACATGTGCATGTCATGTTATTAATATAGATACAAATCAAGAAATAGCTCGTTTACCATTATCAAAACCTATTTATGCACTTGATTCAATGTTAGGTGGACGAGTTTTTGCTTTTGGTGGCCTTGATAAATTGTGTTTAGCACATATGAAAGATAATTAAATTCAATTTTGATTTATTTGTTTCTTTTTTTAATAATTTCCATTGATTCTTTTTTGTTTTTTTTTTTTTTTTTTTTTTTGGTTTGTGAATTTAACATTTGTTTTTTTAATTTTAGAAGTAGCCTTGATCATATCTGAAAACAATGAACTTATAAAAACATATTTTTCTTTTCGCCTATTTTAGATTTATTATGGCTTGGGTCGAACGAATGTTACCATCGTAGGTTTCAACTTAATTAAGATGCAGTACATGACAAAACCCTCGCAGTATTTTTGTTTTTGTTTTGAGTTGTGTATTGAAATTATACAACATTTATTCAATTTGACTAGATGTCTGGATTAGAGAAGTCGAATACTGTACTTATACATCTATTTAATACGATGAAATCTTGAATGTGAAATACAAAAAAAAAAAAAAACATGCTTCACTGCTGAGAAAAAAAGACAAAATATTATTATTAAAATAAAGAATTCTGTCGGATAAGATGATCGATTTAGAATTGAGAAACCAAATTAACTATGTTGTAGAGCAAGTCGAGGCACTTCAAATGGTATATAGTAAATCTTAGGAGCTAGAACCAATTTATGGACAGATGACTATGCACTCAAAGCATGATTAGTTACTGATTTTTGTCATTCTTGGTATCAATCAAAAGTATTTGTAGGACTTTTCACAGGCTACAAACTCATTTACTTACCATATCCAATCATTTCATTTTTGATTAGAAAAAAACGTGATCTTTCAATGACTCACCACCAGTTTTCACTAATGGTGACTCTCCATATGTTCAATAGTGTCGACCATAGAAGATGTGACTAGACGTCAAACTTTCTCAGGAATCGTTCGCGATGTAGCACTACAGAACATGCTATTTGAAAGTTAGGGTGTGGGTATATTTGAAAGGAAAGTCCACATCAGAAACTATTACAGAACACTTTTTCTTCGCTCTAGCCTGCCATAAGGACATAAAATGAGGTCGACTATGAAATGAGTTGGTGATCGAACGAGAAACTCTAACCGTGTTTATATTCAGCAGTGCTCATATCTTTTTTATATCATTTCAAAAGAATATGATGTAGACATAACAATCAGATTATAATTGAATAAAAATAGTATCCTATTGATTTATTCTTAATGAAGATATAATTCTTTTTAGTTCAATATCATTGCTTTTTTTAGTATGAGTACATGACATTAGTAGTATACGTAACAAAATCAAGATATCCGTCAATAAAAGTAAGAATTCTTTATGACTGAGTAGCATTTTATAATTGCGTCAAATTCTTTCATTATCACTTATCAGCAGGTCGAGATTCACTTTTTTTATTATTTGCTAGACATGCTTACTATTTGATAAGAGTTGTCGAATGCTCTGAAAATTGAAAAAGAGTTCGTATTGCACGATAATGAATTAGAATGAGTGTTACAACATGCATAAATTCTGATAAAATCATCAGTAACTAGTAAGACTATATACATGGCATACGCCTTGATAGATTCATATTTGCACTTATCAAACGAGTTTACATGACTTTTATGAATAAACCTTTGCAGGACAATCTATGGTGATCTGCCCTGTTTAAGATCTCTGACACACATCCTCTCAATTATGAATAGGTCACCTAATTCGATAGGGTCTGTGTATATCAATAATGTTATTTTATCTTTCTTCTAAGCCGTGAAGTTTGTTTTTGTTTTTATTGTATTTCATGCTCAAGATTTTATTATATTAAACGGGTGGATATGTATAGTATTGTGCCTCTATTATACAAGCATATAGCTGAAATAAAATTAATGTGTTGTAGTTTCAATAAATGATTCGAAATAAAAAAAAAAGTGATGCAAGACTTTTGACTTCCACTGTCAATAATTCAATTAAGCTTTTTATTTGTTCTGTTATAGTGATCAAGATGAACAATTTGAAAGTTGGCGTAAAGAATTTCAACAAGAACGTTTATTACGTATTGTTCGTGAACGAGAAATTATGAAAGAAACAGCCAAAAGATGCAAGTAAATTAGATTTTGCTTGTTTAAATATTTTTTAAAATTTTAATTGAATAAATATATTTATCTATTAAAAAAAGATCATATAAAATACGTGAACAAGAAGCTAATGATGCACTTGAACGAAAACGTCAAAATATTTTAGCACAACGTAAAGCAACTAATGTACAAGCAACAATGCGATTTCAACGTAATCTACCAGGATTTACTGTTATGGGTAAATTTATTTAGTTTTTATTTTTGAATTAAAACTTAATCAATTTTTTTAAAGATCAAGATAAATTTGATCGAGCTATTGAAACTATAACAGGCCGTCAATTATCTAATCGATCAACACCAAGACGACCATTAGTTCAGCAACAACAAAGAGTCAAACCACATACTATACTTCGTCGATCAATTTCAATGGAAGAATTAGGATCAAGACAACAAATATCTGATTCTCAAAGAACTGATCAAAGAAATCAAATGATATTAACTCGAACAAATTCTGTTACGCAAGTACCACAATATACAAATCAAGTTCAATATACATCACCTTTACAAGAAGTTCAACGTCGTGTTTTAAATGATTTTGCTGCACAAATTCAATCAACTCTTAATCAAAATGAACAATTTAATGAAACAAATACATGGGAACGGGAAAGTATGGATAGTCTTGAAGCATCAAATCATTTTCATCCACAACAAATTATTGCTACACCAAAAATAACTGGACCTATTATACGACCAAATCATGTTGTAAATATTCAAACAAAAAAAATACAACAATCAATAACAAATAATTCAACATTGGAATCTATGATAAATCATGATCAACAAGAAATGTTACGACGAAGTTATCATGAAAGTTTTTTTGTTAAAAATACACCTGTTACAGGTGATGAACAAGTTACAGCATGGTTAGGTGCTAATAAAATTTCAAAAACATCCAATAAACATATTGATATTGTCGAAAAAACTTCATCACTTGATGGAAATGATCCAGAAACAAATGGAAAACGAAAAAGTATTCTTAAACGATCGCCTTCTGTTGATAGTAATTCAGCTACGAATACAAAACCAATAGTAGCAACAAGAAAAGAAACAAGTGCACCACAAGTACGAACTGTTGGAAACAAACCTCGGGTTAAAGATAGTTTAGAAGTAATCAATGCTAAATTATTAAAAGAATTAGAAACACAGGTAAACGATTTTAAAATACTTTTATATTTATCACATAAGATGATGCAGAAAAATTTTTAACAATAACATATGCTTGGGTTTTTTTCCTGTAATATTAAGCACTTAGCTCAAGTCTAAATGATAATTTTAATAGTCAATGAACTTTTCTATTTAATACATTCTAAAGCAAAGTTTCACAAATGAGCTATGATGTCAAGATTTTTAAAAAAAGCCGAACGTGATATTTTTCAGATTCGAGGAAACAAAATCGTTATGACTGAGTGACTACGTTATTCGGCATATATCTACAAGGTATTGTGTTCAAATCTCGATATCACCATCCGTAGAATAACCCTGGATAAATCATTAACAGTTGTTTATCTCGAATTATCCATCTAATAGCATGCTGACTAAGTTATGATGTACACATGTTCTCGAAGTCAGTAAATGGTTAGACAGTGTACTCGAGGAGCTTTAACGATTGAGCGTAAAACTCTACACCAGGCTGATCTTCTTTCGAGAGCTGCATCTAGTGTTAGTTGTTAGAATGATATTGGATTAGTAAATTTGCCACTAGGCAGTACCTCATGCCATAAGGAAGCTAAAAAGTCTCTGAACTCTTCTCTCCTTCCCACGAGACTTTGTTGAAGATGTTTTTAACAATATCATTTGATAGAGCACATATTTCTGAAAAGAAAAATAATGGGTCATCGTATTTTTACGACCTTCCATTCAACTGCTAAGATTATTACACAAGTCAAAAAAAAAAAAGGTGCTGCTTAGTCGATTTTTTGATAAATTTTCTTCTTTTACAGATTTTATGTTACTTTTAAATTTTAAATGGGTGGTCGTAGAAAATGCGGTGACCCCTCATTTCGTTCAAGATTTTGTGCTATTTAAAATAACATTGTCGAAAAATAATTCTGACACCTGAAAACTACTCTCCGTTTTCTTTTAGAAGCCTTATCATCATAGTTCACTTATGAAAGTTTGGTATAGAATGCATTAGATAAAAAATTTTATTGGCTATTAAAATCACTATCTGAATTTGAGTTAATCACTTCACATCATTGAAGAAAAAAAAAGAAAATGCGCTGCTGTTAAACTTTTTTTGATCACCTTATATTAGATATATTTATGAATATTCAATAGAACTTTGAATAAAACACTATAAAACTTTTATTAATGAACATTCCTCTGAAATGAATATCGTTCACTATAAACAAAAATCAAAATCCGATCGATATGCATCTTTCTTTTGAACATTAAGGGTATTCTATAATGATGCAAGTTGATTCGGAACTTTTATGAAGCCAAACTAAATATTGTATATTTTTCGAAAAATCTTTCATTTCAAATACAAACTAAATAACTTCCACTGCTTCAGAACTGATATAATTAGTAGCATAACCAGAACAAGTTGTTGTGAATTGGAGCATTCAGTCTTCCTAATTATGTCTGTAGGAGCCAGAGGATCTAAGATGATGCTTTGAGAGGAGGTTCAAGCTGCTTCTTAACTGGGATGTAATCGTTTGTAGGGAGAGGGCGACGAGTTCTCCTAGCTTTCGTCTGATTACATTACGAAACTGATGCAAGGAAGTCACATATTACAACCTTGTCAATCATGGTCTAAAAGAAGTGTTGAAGTATAAAAGTAGAAATTGGAATCTTCGAGAGACCGCGACCGGCATTGATGTGCGATCAAATAGCATATATCAATAAAGTTTCATTGTAATATATGAACTACTTCCTTATTGCATTTCTGGAGCATTAACTAAACGGATGATGAGAAAATGTGTTCCATAATAAATAGAATAAAACAGTCTTTCTATGATTAACAAGAGCAGCTATATCGTGTTTTACAATTTAATCCTGCAAAGATTGTGCTAACAGCTTCTTTTTTTTTCTTTTGTAGAAGTTCTATTGTAATTTGAATCTGAATATCTTTGTTTTAAAAAAATTTATCTTCTTTATTTAGAAAAAAACTGTTCGATTTGCACAAGATTCCAATAATGAAAGATGTGCATCGGATACGCAACTTGTCAAAGAACCAATTATTGGTATAGAAAATAGAAAAAGAAATGAAAAAAAAAATCCTATTGAAACATTTAGATAATGAACAAACATCACTACGTCGTGTACAATCAGCTGCATTGTTGACACCACCGAATCGTCAGCCAATTAAGTAAGTTGTTTTTCATTTGCTTCATAAATGTTTATTCAAGTAATTTTTCACAATCCCATTTGAGATAAGCAATAAGTAAGACAAATTGACGAGGTTTCTTTCCATTAGTTTTATTTTTAATTATTGGTCTAACACGATATTGATTAATTGATGCTGGAATTAAAAATGTTTCAATATAATTGTATTGTAGTATTTGTTTTTGTTCATTATAATCAATTGTATTAAATTCTATTTCAATTGCATCACCTTCAACTAACATACATAGATGAAATCGATTTTCTGTTGATCGAATTATTTCAATAGATTCATCTGGTTCTATAATAAGACGTTGTACATCATAAAAATGTAGATCATGTGTTGGTAAATGTTGTTCTTCATATTTATCTTGTTCAAATTTCATAGTTTTGGGTTGAGAACGAAGTTGTTCACCACGTCGGTCGAATTTTAAATTTTTCATTCCATGTTCAATATTTAATGGACGAAGACGACCATCAAGATCTAATCTTAACCAATCATATAATTTAAATGTATATATATAAGGTGTTGCAGAAATTTCAAGTACAACTTGATTTTGACCAGATCCATGTACCGTTTCATTAGGTATGAGAAAAAAATCATGCATATTTGATGGAATACATTGAATATATTTTTCAACATTTAATTCTTGTTGCTCTCGATGACTTAAAAGTAGATCTTGATGGAATTCTTCAGGATTGACATTATCATGAAAACCAAGATAAACATGAGCAGATGAGTTTTTGTCATTTTTATATTCTTCTTTCCAATGTTGTTTTGTTTCGACAATATAATATGTTTCATCTTGTGTTATTTTTTCTCCAAAATGTGTACGCATATATTGTAAATTTGGATGACATTGTATAGATAAGTTTCCTCCATCCATTGTATCAAGAAAATCAAAACGTATTGGAAAATCATTCCAACCACCAAATAATCTATAATGTTTATCATTTCCAAGTATTCTATTTGCTTGTGAACTATAAAAAAGATCCCACGAAAATTCCAGAAGATGATTATTTTTATCTGATAATATAATACCATTTTCTGATGTTATCATTTCAAATGACCACGCATAATTTTTCGATAATTTTGATATATCTGTACAAATTGATTTAAGCCATTGACCACCCCATGCACCTGCTTCAAACCATGGTCGTACACGAATAGGTACATTAGCAAGATATGCAAGTGCTTGACGGAATGTATGACCATGAAGCCATGTTGGACAATTTGGTCTTTGATCATCAACATAAAAAGTCATGCGAGGTAAAAGTTCTTGTTTAAGTTTATTAAATATCGGATAATCAAGAAAATAAAGACATTTTCTTTCATACGCAGCTGGTGATAATTCATAATCATCATTATCATTTGATTTTAATGAATTCTCTTCTTGAATTATTTCTGTTGGTTTTAAATAAGAAAATGCTGTTTGTGCATAAACACGATAATAAAGTTCATTTTTTGTTAAATCAATATAAATAAGTGGAGCTATTTCATTTATAAATGAAGCACCAGGTCCAATAATAACACATGGATATGAAAGATTATTTTTTAAATACTTTAATTTATTTAAATCAATAAAATCATTTTTAAAATCTAAATCAGTTGCTAATTTACCAAATACTGATTTCGAATATTGAAGATATAATTCTTGTATATTATTTGTATCTGTTTTGAAAAATGTTCGAGTATCATAAAAAACTAATGATGGTAAATTTTTTGTTTTCATTCTTTGAGTATAATATTTGTTTAATTCATAAGCATATGCATCAAAATATGCTCCAACAAATCCATCAATTAATAATATTTTATGTTGTTCCAATAAACGAAACATTTCTTCATTTAATTTTTTATATCCTATACCAATATAACCTATTGGAATTTCATGACATGGATATAAATCATATTGATCTGTATTTATTGTTTTAATCACAGGTAGAAGATTTTGAAAAGTTTGTCGAATAAATTTACTTTCTGATTTAGTTAATATTGATAATTGTTGTTGAACAGCACCGAGACAAATTGATTTTTCATGTGAAAGACTAAAGTAAACTTGAACGTCACAAGATTTTTTAAGAGTTATATTAAGTTCATTTTCAATTAAATACCAGGCTTGAGCAATACCACCACCAATCACAATCAGATCAGCTTTAAATTTTTTCAGGTGTGGTACTAAAAAATTTCCTAAACGCTGAGCAAATATTTGAAAAGCTTTTATAGCATTTTCATCACCATTAGATGCTTGTTCAGTAAGAGAATGGCCATCAACTATATCTGACTAAAATGATATTCATATATATAAATATGTATTTTACATTGAAAATAATTTTACTTTTTCATAAATATTTGATGATGATTGTTGTTTATTTGTTGATTCATCTGAATGATTATCGGATAATTCTTGTTGAAGAATTGTATTATAAATTTTAATTAAACCACGTGTTGAAAACCAATCATCCGCTATAGAATTTTCATCATATGAACAATTCCAAAGCATTCCACCAGATGGTACATCCGAACGATTTATAATAATTTCACAATGATCAATAAAAGTTGAACCAAAACCAGTACCAAGTGTTAAAGCAAGAATACGTTCATAATCTCTATTATGAATACTAGTTGCTTCACCGACAGCAAAACATGTTGCATCATTATAGAATGAAATCGGTATTTCAGATAATTTTTCAATAACTGACAATAATTTTAGAGAAGTATTATCATTTGTTAGAGATGTTTCTATTGAATTTATTTTCTTATCATCAAAATATATTTTATCAGGTGAATCATTCATTTTATTTTGATTATAACACTCATCATTTTCATGTTGACCACAATAATTTCTCATGTCTTTTATTGATAATTTTGGTTTTTGAAATTCTCCGTTTATTGTTGGTACTAGAGTTAAATTAAAATAAGTATTTAATTTTTTCGATGACTTTATTGTTATTTGGTTTGTTTGTTGTAATTTTTTACAAATTATTTCTTTTCTTAAATTGGATATACTTGAACATGATGATATAGAATATTTAGCTTCAAACATATATTTCCAACGAGATATAAGTTCTCTAAGACCATGTTGAAATGATAAACGTAAATTAAGACCAAAAAAATTATTACATTTATGTAATGTTGTTGATTGAATATAACTTATGCCACGTTCATAATCCATTGGTCCTGGTATACCACAAGCAATACCAATAATAGTATCATTTTCTCTATAATCATTAGCAAAATCTTGAAGAAGATCATCAATACAATCAATCCAAGTCGAAATAATTGAACGTGGATCTTTGTCTATAGTTATTCTATATGGACATGAATATAATTGATCTCTTTCGATAGATAAATTTTGATTTGATAATTGTTTAATACGTATAAGAGCTGCTGTAATATGACTACCTCCTATATCAAGTCCAATAACTAATGATGACATGACGAATAGGCTTATGAAAAAGAAAAGAAAAAAAAAAATAATAAATATATGTAGTTGGTCAAAGTTTGATTCGAAAAGTAGAAGACATTGCCTTATCTTTTATTGACTCTGGAGAATAATGATAATATTTTTTAGCGTTTGAATTTGTCGCTTACTGCAAATGTACTTCACATGTGATAGTAACCACAAAAAAAAAGAATAATAAAATTTGGTCTATTGTTTGACAAGAGCAAATAGGAAGATTCGAAGTTACATGGTTAATAGAAAACTAATACAGTTTAAAGCGAAATAGAATTATTGTTGTTTTTCTAGATTATTATATTAAAGAAAATAGAATGTCAACATTCAATTAATAATATAGACAATTATTTAAGAATAAAAACGAATGAGAGAGAGAAAATTTTTTGTTTGTTATGTTGATAGTACAAAGTCATTTAGTTTGTTAGAAAAATATTACATAGGAATTTTATGACAAGACTTTAGTATGTTTATTTGATCTATAGTTAAAATTTTATTTCGTACGATGTTTGACAATGTTTTTCAGTTTGTGTTTAACTAGAGTTATCTATCAATGGTTTTATATTTTGAGAACAATTAGTAATAACACAAAGTTAAAATAGACTTTATTAAGTGTCATTTTAATGCATAGAACGTGTACTTTTTGAACATTTCGATGTCAATTCCTAAAATGATAAATTTGGATTGTCGGTCAAATGAATACTTACATCCACAAGAAAAAGAATTATTTTAATTATGTTTTGTTAATATCTGCAGTTAAAATGAATATTATTAAATTACAAACTCATGCACTCGTATCTACTCTCGACGCCGTTTTATTTGCGGATAAAATAGCAATTAATAGAGTATAAGAATTTACAACTATAAAACCTACTTCCAGCAATTCTATAACTTAAGTTCTCGATTAAAAAAAAAAGTCAATTACATCTTCGAAGGATTCTTTCTGATCCAAATTTGCATGAAAAAATTAATATTTGAGAATAAAGAAATTAATCAAAATCTCTTGTCAATGCATCTGAAATTATCTGACTTGAGATTATATCCATCATTTATATGGGTCAAAGATTAAAACTTGGTAATAAATTTTATCGTTAAAGTTCGAAGTCGAAAACTATATATTTGAAATCATTGGCTAAAGAATCGACGATCCAGGAAAGAGAAAATAAGATATTTACAACGGTTTAGTACTCGACTTTGAGCTTTGGATGAAAAAAATAATGAATATAATTTCAAGTCAGATAGGTTCCGATGTATATAGACGAGTGCTTTCAATAAATCGCTTCATATTCAAATATTGATTTTTTTATGAAAATTTGACTGAGAATGTATCACTCGGAGATTTATTTCTTCAGTAAATCCAAGACTAATAATTCAAATTAGTATTTTTCAACAAAATCTATTCAGAAAATAAATCTTAACTCAACTAAGATGAAAACTATTCAATATTTTTATCATAAAAATATTCATAGCTCGCATATATATATAAGTATAGAATGTAATGTATCCTGTGATATCTCTATATCGTTCTAGACAAACATCAGCAAATGATGATCGTGCTTCGGAATGTTCATCAACAGCTAGTTCTAAACCACCTATGTATCCTTTAACACCAACGAGTCAGACTCGACATGGTTATACAAGTATTGGATTAAAACAACGTGAATTGCGAACTAAATTACACAAAACACGATATGTACAATCATTGAGGCAAACAAATACATCACCAACAATGTTTGATTCTCCGTCGTCACGACGTACACCAACATTATCACCACATCGACCACCAATAGCAATGGTAAATATTTAATTATTTAGATAATTAGAAAAATAATTTGCAATTTTCATTTTTCATTTTTTGAAAATTTCTCTAGCCAATGGCACTAAATAAAACAAATGAATTGAATAATGAACGAAGAAACATAGATGATGATGATGAAAATGATTCACTTTTTAGTGAACTACGAATGAGTTCAATACCGAGTAGTAATTTTAGTCAAAATGATGCAAGATTACCACCACCGTAAGTAAATCTATACTTTTTCAATCAAAGGCATTAGCTTAAATTTACATTAAAATGTCAAGTTCTTTTTCGTTGGTAACAATCTAAAATGTTCTTTAGAATCTAACGTCCTTGACGAAAATTTCCTTGAGAAATAGTTCTTCGAAAAAATATCCTTCAAGTAAAACGTGAACTATTTTGATGTCAATGTTAATCATCTAAACTTATTATAATCAATCAATTTTAATTTAATATTTCATTCGCAACAAAAAAACGAAAGTTCCAGTAATAATTGTTGGACCGATCGTATAATTCTTCTAGTGTGTGTATGTGTATGTGTATGTATGAGATTAAAAGTAGATCCACACTACCAGGCTTCGAAATCGAACTATTTTTTTAAGGTCCAACTCGGCACAACTTCGAGTGGGACTATTAAAAGCATATGTCTTTTACAAAAAAGACTTTTACGTGATTGAATTTCAGAATGATTGCAGTCATTTATTAGAACATGATAAAAGAAGTTTACTACCAAAGTGATCACGAGCTGAATAAGGTCAGACGATTTCAGTAGTTGAACAAAGACTATCATTTATTAACATAACGCTTTCACGAGTAAAATATTTGCTAATCAATTTCAAATAGCCAGATCCATCACTATTCTTATCTACATTGCTCCATTTCGTTAAAATCCATGCCACTTAATGCAATTGATAGTTGTGCCGATATTGGTATCACCTTCCATTTCTTTTCATCTTGTTTCTATTGTTTTTTTCTTTTATTCATTTCTCTCTATTGTTCTTTCCTGTACTCATCTTTCTCTTTCCTGTATAAGTGTGTGTTATGTGTGAAGTAGACACATTCTGGAGATGTGAAATAGCTCAATATAAACGTCATTCCCTAAGGGTGGCGGTGAGCGCTACTCTCTTCACTTTGTCTTTACAATAGTGCGTTCGGTCTTGTATATAGATTAGAAATGTCATTGAACCGATTCAATGATCTGCTTTTACCTATTGGCTAAATGAAACTTCCGAAATGTTCGCATAATAAAGATTACTGACTGTTATCAGTTACGAGATGTAAAATTCCTGTAAGAAATTTTGACAAAATGTCACATTTTTTTATGTTCTTCTATGTGGAAAATATTCCTTGAAAAAAAAAGTTTGAGCTTGCTCATTCCACCAATCTTCTCTGGCGAGACTCATCCAATTCGGAGAACAAATCTTTCTGAGTCTGATAGGACGGCTGATTTTGAGCTCTTCACCCTACATTTTCAGTAATATGATATTTAAAAGAAAAAATTTCAAGATGATCTACATATTCATATTAGAAATAATTTCTCAAGGACATGTACCGTGAAAGACAATATTTCGAAGATAATTATTTATGAGAACGAAAAGTTATGAACATGTTTGCTTGACTTCTTTTTCTTATTGTTTATTCTAGAGTACCATCGAATGCAACAAATAAAATTGCTGAATCAAAATTGAATGCAACAAAAAGTAAATAAATCATTAAGAATGTTTGTATTTTTTCATTCATTAATTTAAGCATTGTTCTTTAAAAATTCCACATTACCAACAGCACCAACAACTCTGTCAATAGAAGAACGTCGAGTACAAGAATCATTAGATCGACTTGATCAACAATTAAAAGGTACATATTTTTTGTTGTATTCATTTAAGCAACAAAATAAAAGAAAAAATTTTTATTTATTTTATTCAGACGTTCAAGCAAAGGTTCGATCTAATTCCAATACAAGAATACAAAAGTGAGAATTATTCTTTCATCTATATTGGCTTTTGTTTTGAATTAAAAGTTTTTTTTGTTCATTTTTAGAAATAAAAAACGATGAATCTCGACATATTTTACTGTTTTGTACAAATATACATATATGACTGCTTGTGTTTTGTTTTTCTCTTAATTATTCATCTATGTACTTTGTTTTTTTGTTTGTTTTCACGGCAATAACTGTTTTAGTGAACAAAAAAAAAAAGAATTCAAGGAAATATTGTCTTACTGTTACTTGTTATCCATCTGTTTGTTTCTTTTTTAGATTCATTAATAATGCTTAAATCAAAACCAACACCAATATTAAAAAAGAAAAATGATGATGCTGTAAGTGAAAAGTACAGAATGTGACCCAAAAGTCACTTTACCGACAGAAAATTGAATATCACCGCCTTGTTTTAATCACTTGGGTTGCTTTTTTCCACCATTGTTAAAGATGTGTTGTGTTGTCCTGCAACCAGATAGCAGGAGTGAATGAAAACTTCCCAAAACGGCTCCATTCTCGAGTATAATCTCATACTCAAACTCGAGTCAGTAATTAATAAGATCCCGGCATTGCAAAATATTTTTACGCTTTCAAACTGCTATTTTATAGAAAATCATAGGAATGAAAATCGTTTCGATCATTATTGAGCAGTTTATTGTAATCGAGAACAGATCACATAATGTGAAAATGATCTCGTTCTATAAAAAGAATTCATTTTTAATAAAAATTCATCTACGGATGATGATTAACCATATGACAAAGTAACTGAATGCATGAAGAGAAAAATGAATTATCAAAAAAAAAGGTAAACATGTATATATTCACAATTACAACGCTTGACACTAAGACTACATGCCATTCCAGTGTCATCAGTAACAAGCAAACACATACTTAGCAAAATCGATCGGATTTTAGAAGTGGCAAGACGGCAAGTAAATTCTGAATCACTTTGTTTTTGTTGCTACTTTTCATATAAAATAAAACTGTGAAAACCGTACTGTGACTGTTAAAGTATCTGTCGAATGTTGATTAGCTTCAGTCCGCGTGCGACTGCGAAAAGTCGTATTCGAGCAGGATACTAGTTCATTCACAGTTTATATTCGACAAAAACTGTTTTGAAGTGCCACCGATAACTTCAATGAAAAATAATCACCTTTCACAAATTGTGAAGAAAAATCATAGATCCTTATGATCAAAATAAACGTCACA